TATTTGGGTTTTATTTTGCATTGCATGAAGTTAAGGTTTAAGGGTGTTTACATTCATGATGTTCATAGTCACATAGTTACATAGAGATGGAGTTTCCAATAAATTTAGCCTCTATTTGGTATCAGATTTTTAGTAGATTTTAATAAAAGTTAATAAAATGTGTGGTTGAAAAGTTGTGGCTCCCACGAAATGTGTGGTTAAAATTAATTGTTAACTTCGACATAAATTAAAATCTTAATTTTAATTTCTACCAAACAGGGGGTTAGTCAATTTTATGAAATGGACGTAACACCATCTTGTAGATCAATGTAAAAACAAGTCACAACAAAGATAAATAACTTTAAAACTTACTTGGAGCAATCTGTGTTCTCCCAGCATCAATGGTAATATGTGTTTGTAAGTTTAGTGATTTTGCCTTTTCCTGTACAAATAAGATATTACAATCCAGCCGAAACAAAGGAATATGGTCCATGCACGATAAACTTCTATGTTATAGCAAAGTACAAAAGATAAGCCCAATATACTATTTGATGGCCCTATAATAAGTTTCTGCTTGTCAGACCAAGTTATATTCCAGATGACGCTATCCCACCATCCCATACTGCAGATAGATAAATCCATCTGTTCACTATAGAGATCTGGGAGGTGACTTCGACTGATAAGTACTACCACTTGCAGGGGGCTGAGCCAGCCAATAACTAAAATGAATATATATTATCAAAACAAATCCTTCCACTGCTTAACAAAGTGCATCAGCAGTCAGGCAACAGTATGATGACAAACATTTTCCAACATTTTGAAGGATTCCTTGATTAGTCTTGAAATAACATTAAAGGAGAACTCTAATTAATTAACAATGGTTGATTGGCCCATTACGTCCTTTAAATTCCACGAAATTATCAAGTTGCGGCATCATAAAATGATAAAGTCCTTGACAACAATTTACTTTGCGTTACAATGTCATTGTCAACAACCCTTTATTTCGACATCTTCAGCTCCTCAGGGCTCAGGTCCATTACTTCCTTTAAATTCCATGAAATTATCAAGTTGCAGCATCCTCAAATGATACGAGTCCTTGACAACAATAAACTGTGTGTTACAACGTCATTGTCAACAACCCTTTATTTCGACAACATCTTGAGCTCCTCAGGGGCTCACACAACCTGATATCTCACACCAGTTAAATCCTTCACCCATTTTTGTCTCACTAGGATGACAAAAATTTCTCATAGATCGTGGCAAAAGGGTTAAAAAAGGAATAATTTCAACTCGATTAAAATGCAAGAATAACGGTGCTTATCTAGTCTATGCATCCTTAATATACAATAATAATTAACAAGTTTTTTCACGTCTTCATGGAAAGTACTATGAGATGTAGTCAAACAAAATAAATAGCAATAGAAAGCCCAACCCAAACCGCTCAACCCAATCCAACTCAAACTGATCGGTTTGGGTTGGTTTTTTAAGTTCAATTGGGTTAGATTGGTTCTTTGGTTATGATTTAAAACCCAACCCAACCCAACCCAACCTAACGAATTAAAAAAATTAATTTATAAGACCAAAAAAACCCCTAAATAAACACTATAGTAAAGATATGAGGACTTATAATTTATAAACGTCCATTTTATTTACAGAGATTGATTCACACGAACACTTCGTATAAATAAAACATTATTTGACAATAAAGTAAAAATTAAGAACGTGATGATGAAATAAATAAATCCCAACAAATTGTAAAAAAGAAAATGTTTCATAAATTTTAAACTTTTATACATTATTTTTCAGAAAGAATTTCTTGTATAGGTATGAAAAAAAATTGAGGTTTTCAAGTAATTTCGAACTTTAAAAATTTATCCAAATTCAACAATAAAATAATCGGATCCAACTTTAATTGGGCTAAAGCCCAAACCGACCAATCCAACCCAAACCGAACTAAACTGTTGGGTTGATTTTAGGTCAAACCAACCATGTTTACCCAAACCCAACCCATGCCTACCTCTAAATAGCATATGTTATAAAATGACATGTAACATTCACAAACAAGTGTTATCTGATATACTGCTATGGTACATTCACAAACACATGTTATCTGATATACTGCTATAGTCATTTCAAATTGAAGCTAGTCCTATGGCTCTTACTTGTAAAACAAGCATATCATCTTCACCTTCAATTTTCACGACAACCTTAACCTGCCCACACATCTCCCACCTGCATGGAGGCAAAGGCGGTGAGCTTAGTCAATCAATACTACACATAAATAGCAATTCAGAGTTCCAAAATTTGTGACTAAGTTAATGAATACCTGTTTAAAGATTTCGGTGCCCGGTTTGCGAGTTTCTTGTAGAGACCCAAAGTAGCATGACTATCAATCATAAAAATTGATCGACTAGAAGTCAGAACAATTAAATTTTTGTACCAAAGAACTTGTAAATTGGAGCCTACCAGCTAGTTGTATTATTTTCATTGTAATAGTTAACTTCCAAATTTACTGCAATTGTGGCGTGGAAAACCGTGACTTACAAGAACAAACTTACAGAGTAGACCCAACTAGAAAAATACATCAAACTTTTAAAATTTCTAGTTTTTCCTCCCATTGAAGATTATTATAGAGTCAATATATGATGCAATCTGTCCAAGATAAAATGCATTTTTCCATAATGGACTCTAAGCAGACTAGGCTTCCATATTTTGAACTTTAAATTTATTTCAAGAGACTCTGCAGTATTAGCGTCAGAGAGCGACAAAATGAAGCACCATATTACAGCAAGTTTTATTCCTTCTTCTTCTTTTGGGATATAGAATTAATATTTAACTCATATATGCAAGAGTCGAGCAAAATGTAGCCTGCACTTTTGTTGAACAGAGTTCAACTGAAGCTGTCATTTAGCCTCCGGCTCAACCTTAGTGTTTCACATCTAACCAAGGTGTCATTGTGATACCGACCAGTCTTTGGTCAAATTAAGACTTCAAAGTGTAGTTTTTATTTCAATCATGTGTTGTACTTGATTTTTGTTGTTTCCACTGCAGAACTTGGCATCTTCTACTAAGTACCACCACTCCTATTTTTACTATGGGATAGTTATTACATATTCTTGGTTCCTTTTTTTTTTTTTTTTGGGTCCCAATTTAAATTGAACTGCCTGAGATTGAAAGAAATAATCCTACATAAATGAAAAATGATTTCCTTTTTCCAAGTGATAAAACCACTGACATCCCAAGAAATTGGTAAGTAACAATAATAAAAATCAACTGCATTGGTAACATTATCAGCTAATGAACAGTATATGTTGAATACAAAAGGTGCCATCTGAGTCGGATGCTATGCTCGAGATGACAGTTACCTGCATTGTGCAGCAATCTTCCCTTTCCCCATCTTTAAGTCATTCCTCACAACCAAAACCTGTTAACAATTATTCGAGAAATAAAGATAAATTATCCTCGTAATATTGTACTTAAAGCTTGTTCTCACTTCGCCTAAGAGCATGACTATATCTGCATACAGAAGGAGAATGGAAGAGACATAATACCATTTTGAAATCTTCAAGAATGTCAGCTAGTTTTTCGATCTCAAGGGGCTGTTTACCACGGTTCTTTGATTTACCTTCAACAACAATTTCAGAGCCTTTCGATACTCGGGGAGAAAGAAAAATACGGGCAGACTGCCGAGCTCCAATGAAGTACCCCAAAGCAAGGCAGCCAGCCCCAAGTAACAAGGCACTGAACCAGGTCATGTCTATCATATCAAACCCCAAATATTCAATGTGCACTGTACTCAAATACCACTACACAGTCAATTTGGGATGACACCTGACTGAAAAGCCATGTAGTACACAGAGTATAACTAATTGGAAAAGGAACTAGATACCAGTAATAATTTGATGGAGCAGAAAATGCATAAGCAGAGTAATCAATCTATCGGAAGACGAGGATCGAGCCACGTCGGTGTAAGTACGATCAAGTTTGCTATTCAGTGCGGCGACGGCGGTGGCTGATGAGACAGAAAAGAAGCCGGACTTCCAGTTTCCACACCCTAGACTGGGTAATCTGAAATTCTTTTTCCTGATTTATTAAATTGGTGTGTTTGGTACCATTTTTATGAAAAAATGAATTTTATAACAATAAATTGATGGACAATATGTGGATGAAAAGTTTTTGATTTACGTATAATATTGTTTTAATGAATAATGTAGAATTGAAAAGATGAGAGAAAAAAATGCATTTTGAGAAAAATAAAAATTAAACGGGGTCTAAATTTAGCTATTGTTTGAACTCCATTCTTTTAAAAAATGTATTTTTTAATAGTGTTTTAACATGATTTTAACAACATATTTTTCAATAAAATAATATTATAAACAAATCTAAAATTTTTCATGTTTTTAACCACTCATTTTCTGTTAATACAATATTCAGAAAATCATTCTACTCTCGTAATAGGACTCAAACAAAAGCTTAAAGACGAAACAAGAGTACCCTAAAAATATATAAAATTTGTAGTAAAGAATGCCTCCGCTTGGGCCCCCCTTCTTTCAAATTTTAGCTCCCGTTTGACTTCTATTTTTTGAAAATGAAAATAGTTGGAATAGTGATTTTTTTTTTTCAAAAAATAAATGGTTAAAAAAGAAGGAATTTTTTTTTGATTTAAGTATAATGTTATTACATGAAAGATTATGTGATCGAAAATGGGAGAGAAAAAAAGGATTTAATGGAATGAAAACTAATGAGATTCAAACGGATGCTTAATGTCTGGAATAATGTTTTTGTTGGAAAATGTGTGGTTAAAAAGAAAATATTTCAATTTATGTGTAATATTATTTTATGGAAGATTGTCCGGTTAAAAGTAGGAGTGAGAAGAAAAAATTGAAAGACACAGATGGCCAAACGAGGGCAATTTGGCAATTGGCACAAAACATTCCTTAAAACTTGCCTCCATAATTAAATATATTTCTATCCTTTCATTTTGACACAAAATTAGTAAATTATATGTTCTTTTCTTTAAGAAATACGATATTTTCTATCATTTTCTCAATGAAGCCTTGACGAATATACTATCCTCTTTAAATAGAACAAAAAGAAAAAGAAGAAAAAAATAAAGACTTAATTGTAACTTTATTTCCAATTTTTTTGAAAAAATACAAACGAGTCCCAAATAAAACATTAAATGTGCATAGTTTTTATATTTTATTTTAAAAATTAAATTAAAATAATCAGTTATTCATAGTTATTCACTGCGATAATCATCTAACGTGGTATACACATAGCAGGAGGTTACTTGATGCATTAATATGGTAGTTTTTTATTTAGTAATGCATCGAATAATCACATTTTATGTGTATGTCACGTAGAGCGATTATCGTAGTGAACAATGTTCTTTTCAAAATACCATCATTTATATTTTTATTTTTTGAGTTCGACACGTTACAATCAGCTAAATATGTAAACCACTTCTTGATCTCTCTAAGATTATAAACCACTTCTCGATCTCTCTAAGATTATCAAATCATTTTAAATTTGATCAACTTTTTAAGAAGCATTAAACATAGAATCAAATGCTTAGAACAAAGATGAGAACTTTGAATAACATGATAAATAGATAGAAATAATCAATGAGCAAGTGGGTAGTGCTTACGAGTGCAACAAACTATGTCGATAGAAAGTTATGCAGTCAATTACAAACAATTTAAATGATAATTAAACGGAGGCTAGTCTTCATGGAAAGGTTATATCGTAGCCCAAGAGTTTAGCTCATTATAACCTCACAAAAATCCAAAAAATGCATGTATATTTAAATAAACAAAACGGAAAAGAAGGAGTACACGAGAAGAATAAATAATTGATTTGGAGTTGAAGATTACGTGCTTTTTATCCTACCGTTCTTCAATCTTCATATTATAGTTTTTACTAGGTCCATGATGTTGGAAAAAATGAGTAAATTGCTCACTTTTGATACACTTTTCGATAGGACTTGTTGGTCCAATTTGAAAGATCAAAGTTGATCCGTGTTCTCCTTCGTGAGAGTATCGAAATCATATATTTACTTGCCAAAAATGAAGTTTAAGTGAATGAGAAATTGGAGTTCAAAGTTGACCATTGGAAGATGATTTATATGAGAAAAATGAGTTTGTCCCACAGAAAAAATATGAAAGCAAGAACTACTTTAAATGTGGTTGCACATTAGAATAGTATAATTATGTAGATCATAGAGACTCTCTCTATGTGCGCGTTCAGGGAGCAAATCAAGGATCGAAATTGCTTTTGGACCTTGAACTTATGTGCGGGCACAACCTGTGTACACGAATATCAAATCGAACGGAGCAAAAATTGGCCCGATTAGAGTGTGCACATTTTGCAATTTTTTGTTTTCTCCAATTGACCTTTGAATTTTTGAAAACTACCAAAACTCCCAGAAATTGAAGCAACTCCAGTGTTTATTGCTTTGGAGTTAATACATAGATTTAATCTTATATTAAGTCTCATTTTTAGCAATTCTAACCACGAGAATACACACCAGAAAATTACTGTTTGCATACACACGAAAATATTCTACAAATTAATGTTGCATGCATACATAATCTGTTGCATTTTCAGCATCATCTTGGGGGTGATATTGTTCGAATACAAACTCAGTTCGCCAGAGTAGTATCTGTTGTGCTCAAATTCTATGGATTTTACCGTTGTATCCTGAGAAATAGACGCTCAAATTAGATCTCAAACACTTACGGTGAGGGGACGAATCTGTTTTAAGGAAACTGTGCTTGCACATGCTTCAAGTTGAAAGTTCATCCATTATTTAATATTTCTGCAATTTATTCGTGTGCTTCAGTTTTATTATGTTAACGTTTTATTTATGTTTATTGAAATTAATCTGCGTTAATTTCTATTTATGTTAAAAATATAAATCTAAAAGAAAAAAAATTTACTGTAATTTCGGTATGTGTAAGTACAAAATCAGTATGTGAAAATACAGTATATACGAAAAGGGTAAAAAAATATGTGCAAATACGATCAAATGCATATACGGTAGGTAACATATATGGTAAGCTACCTGCAAATATGATTGGTTGCAAATACGGTAAGTAGCATATACGGTATATTGCATATACGATGTGCTTACATTCGGTATCTAAACTACGTATATAGTATGCGCTAATTCGGTTTCATCCACTAACTTCCAACACTCGAGGGCGTGTTTGAGTCCCTTTCTTTTTTAAGAATGAATTTTTATATAATAAGGCCCCGTTTGGTAGGGATTTTTTGCCCAAAAAAATTAATTTTTTTACCGTTATTTTACTATTCAAGCCGTAATTTTTGACTTCTTCTCTCACGTGTGGACCCCACTTTTCTTGTAACGGTCAAAAAATCAATTCTCAAAATCCCTACCAAACGGGCAAGTCTCAAACAAAGCCTATATTTCTTATAGGATGCTACGATTTTTTTATCACACAAGAAAGGGTGTCAAAATGAATTCCTGCTATTCACAGCTCCATTCTTTAAAATAGGGTCAAGGACCAACTTTCTTAAAGCCTAGAGGCTTGATCGCATCGGCTCTCACCTTCGAGACACACATGCTTAGTCATGGGTGAGTTGAGATCTACCATCCATTTTGCTATCTACTTAATAAATTATTGATACATCATTTTAAATTAAACATGTCATCAATTTGATGGGTTAATGGTGAAATTAATTAGAATAAATTTGAGATTATGTGTTAATTTAAAATGACGTTTGTAAATAATTTATTGAATGGACAACAAAATATGGAAAACAGATATTAACTCGTCATAAACATACTAAGTTGTATTAGATGCAAGTCGGATTGAAAAAGTTTCATTATTTTCTACATTGAAGGCAGACATTAGAGACCATTTTGTGCAAAATCCCCCTTTTAAAGAAATAGCCTATAATTTTTAAAGGAATGTGATAAATGTATTCATATTACGATTTATATTTGCAATACCACATTTTAATTGCTATGAGTATTTCAATCTTCACTCTTCGTGGCACTTGTAAATTCTATCGACCTCAAATTTTTGCACGGATGATGTGATGAACAGATCTTGACTTAACTCGTGTCCAAACGTAAAGCTCCTGCACACTTGAACAAATCTTTAGAAGCATGTGACCTCATCTAAAGGTGGGGATGTGGTCGCGAGCACCCTGATGATCAGGTAAGTCAATTTATAGAAGTATAATTTGGGTGTAGGACATGCGGAAGATGTAAGCCATAAAGTCACAATTGTGTTCGAGCAACGTAGGTTTATGGAGAGTAAAATGAGTGAGAGCAACACTAATTGAGTGTGTAAAATTGCATTAACTTCAAGTAATATTAAGTGTGAGCTTTATGTGTAGAAGATGTTGAATGGTTACTATTAAATGAAAGATTGACAATTTGACTTGATGGGTTGGTGCTGCAGAGAAGTCATATTAATCAATCATAAAGATTTAGTATGTAGAATCTCCTAGGGAATGTGCCTTATATGCCTGAAGGCAATTCGTTCACTATATTACCTGGCCTATCCGAGGTCCTTAGGTAGTCGAAGTGATGCACTATGTCAAACTCCCATGTAGAGGTTGAATCCTCCATGAACGAGGTGACGCGATGCTATATGCTTCATCATTGGTCCATAGCAAATAGTCTTCAAGTGTACAAGGCACCTTCCCTAGAAGATTCTTCATACAAAATTTTATATGATTTATTGACGTAACTTCTTTGCAACAGTCACATCATCAAGTCAACTTGTTGGTTTATACGCTTGAAAGTTACTCGTTTTGGACCGATGCTGTAGGACATTGAATCGCGTTACCATGTCCATGCAAGGTTTGACCTCTATAAATGGGGTGCTCGATAGAGTGCATCAGTTCGACTACTTAAGAGCCTTGGACAGACCAAATACGATAATAATGTAGAGCATGAATATGAGTTTGCTTATTATGTGATTGTCACGCAATCCTTTTTTGAACTCATGTTGGAGGAGGCACGACACTTTCAACTTTTTTCGTTGTATAATTATTTATAACATTTTCATCAGTTTTTACATTTTATCTCGAACCCATACACGGGGAATATAGGGACATTCTTCCAATGCTGGTCCAATCATCTTGATACATGTACACATGCATTCATTAATTTATTAATTTCATCCAACCATAAAAAAAAACGTAACGCAAAACGACACAACCCTTGGATGAAAGAAAATGACAAAAAATATTCAAATTGAGGACACGCGTAAGATCAAAATTCCATCAACAGCGCTGCACTTGGATATCACACACTTGATCCCGTAATATCCCATAATACTACAATTTTTATTTTTATTTTTATTTTTATTTTCATTTTTCTTGACCGGGGCCTGCCTGCACTCTAGCGAATCGGCTGAATAAAGCTGCTCATCCCGGTTGTGTAATGGAGTTGATCAGCTATTAGTCTAGTCGCCTCAAAATCAAAAGTCAAAAACACGCAAAGTGAATAGTAAATTCTTCCTCTCCAAGATTTTTCAATTTCCACCTTCAATCCTAAAGGTACTTTTATTCTCCACCCTTTTTCTATTCTCGATCAATATTCTCGATTTTGATTTGATCATATCGCTCAATTGGTTTTTGTAATTTCTTGTTCTTGCTTTTATTTTCTATAGATATTTATGCGATCTCTGTTTTATGCACAATTATTTCTATTTTTCGCAATATTTTAGTCTCTTTGACGACAATATAATCTGACCCAGATAGAAAATGAAGTTAGTATTACATTTGTCATGATCATATTGTACGACGATTATGGCTGAAGGGGGGTTTATTTTTGATTTGTTATCTTTAAGCGCTTAAATGATTTTCTTAATTGTGGGTAGCAGCGGTTCTAGTTATGAGTGTATTAAAGAACTGATGAACTTTTTTTTTTGGTTTTTTGTTTTTTTTTTTTTTTAGGTTTCGTGGGAGGGCTTATAGATCCTGGTATTTCAGAAAATGAGTGACAATTTGATGGAAAAAGTTACCGCATTTGGCGAGCGCTTGAAGATTGGAGGGGCTGAGGTAGGACAAAAAATCAGCGAGGGTATGAGCTCAATGAGTTTCAAGATGAAGGAACTTTTTCAAGGGCCAAACCAGGCCGACAAGCTCGTGGAGGAAGCCACGGTCGAAACTCTAGACGAGCCCGACTGGGCCACAAATCTCGAACTCTGTGATATGATCAACCAAGACAGGGTCAGTAGTGTTGAAATGATACGGGGAATTAAGAAACGGATCATGTTAAAGACCCCCAGGATCCAGTACTTGGCTCTGGTATTGCTTGAAACTGTTGTGAAGAACTGTGACAAATCATTCTCTGAGGTTGCGGCTGAGAGGGTCCTTGATGAGATGGTGAAGTTGATTGATGATCCTCAGACTGTAGTCAACAATCGGAACAAGGCTTTAATGCTGATCGAATCATGGGGAGAGTCCTCGGATGAACTACGCTACTTGCCTGTTTATGAAGAGACTTACAAGGTATTGCTGCAGTTTCTTTTCGACTTGATTAATATAGAAAAATGAGCAATGAAATCACATCTTTTAGGAGCATTTAACATATAATTAAGTTAATTGTGTTTGTCTAATTGTTCGATAAATTTTCAAATTCGGGGATACAGATGAGTTGCCCTGGTCTAAGTGACTCTATGATATATATTCTGTGGAGTTGTGTTCCAAATTCTTACCATTTTCCCTGCATTATAGAGTTTGAAGTCAAGAGGAATAAGGTTTCCTGGCCGCGATGACGAGAGTTTGGCTCCTATATTTACTCCTCCCAGATTGGCGCCAGCTTCAGAATCAAATGCCACTGTTGCTCAACAATTCCATCCCGATATCCCTGCGCAACCCTTTTCAGCTGAACAAAGAAAGGAGGCATTTGACGTGGCTAGAAACAGTATAGAGCTGCTTAGCACAGTCTTGTCCTCTTCACCACAACAAGATGCTCTTGAGGTAATTTTACTGATTTAGTTTGATTGAATATTTCACTTGATAATTATTTAAACATATATCATTGCCACTCGAACAAAAGTTGCACAGGAAAGTGTCCAAATGAGAGTAGTTTGTATCTGTTTTCATAAAGTTTGACAGAGTACTCACAATCTGACCATGTAAGTGTAAACTGCATTCTCTCAAATGCAGTATTAAGCTCAAAAGTTCCATTAAAACCTCACTTGGTTCATTTTAGACAGTTTAGAAGTCAGAACAGCATTTAGAGCATCACAAGCAAATGGTGCCTCATGAAAGCCGTGTATAATATATTAATTTTCAACAAATCTTACCTGTGTTTAAAGGAAACAACTACAGCATAATGGGTAAATGGAAATGGTTCCTTATTGTATGGTCTGGTGCCAATGCTTAGTGTAACTGATCCAATTCAGACAATGCCATTGCCCACATTCAAGTTTGGCAAAATGTGGAAAAGAATTAGTTTTATTTTTGATATTATATTATATAAAATTATTCAATGTGTTACCAGAAAGTATATTAGAAAATATTGGTTTATAAAGAACTTCATTCATTTGATCTTAGCATCATAAGCAACCTCATTTTTCTTATTTTTCTTTTGGGTTGTCCCATGCATGTATATCATGTAGATGAAATCGCACTGATGGAGAATTAGAAGAGATATTATGTTTATTTAGTTTCCTATTTTGATTCGTATTTTAGGAAACATGATTAGAGTGTGATTTAATAACTTTTATAGCATTTCTTAGTTATGATTTTTGAAAACCCTATATAATGGAGGTTATGGCGATGTAAAAAAACAATCTTTGATGATGAAATGAATTGATATTCTCCCCCATGTTTCTCTCTTCCTCTTCTCTTTCCTTATTCTAAATTGTTATCGTTCTTGATTCGGCATTACTCACACTTAACAAACTTTGTTGCATAACATTCATTGGCTTTTGAAATCTCAGGGCCATTGTTTCTTTTTACGTAAGGAGCTCATGGGAACTCTGAACTTCCCTAACTTCAGCATTTTTCCCATACGATTTTCTTCTCACCCCTTGGCCTAGAATAGTTAGTATTATTTCTCACAACATTTTGAATGATGATTGACTGTCATATGTCAAATCAACATTTTCAGAATTGCTTTAAAACCTACAATCTCATTGTTTGGCTGGCTTTACACAGTAGGTTTGTGTTTGGTGCACCGAATTAGACAAATGAATATAGTATCAGATTTTAATAGACACTACTAGGTAAATGGTATTGTGGTGGATAATTCTATTTGTTTTTACATTTAAAAGAATTTCATTTACCACATCTTTTATTATTTGCCCATTTCCACGATCCCTATTATGGTATATGGTTGACATTCTCTTGAATGAAAAATCAAAAAATGCTATACACCTTAATCCACCATACTACCATCTTCCTAACGCTATAACTTCTACTAAATTTCTTCCATGGTCTAATCAGGGACCCCCCAAATTCAACCTAGTTGGATAATCTTGATTGTAACTCATACTTGCAAATATCGTGTCATATGTGCCCTCATGTTTGTTTATACCCTACTGTTCCATATTTTGCTGCATGTACTCCCTTAGCTCCAGATGGTTAAAGGTTACGGGTATATTTGAGTTAGGGTGACTTATTTATATCCTCGTGTGAGATCACTTTCGATTTGTTGAGCAGGATGACTTGACCATCACGCTTTTACGTCAGTGTCGTGAGTCCCAATATACCGTTCAGAGAATTATTGAAACAGGTGGAGATAATGAGGCCCTGCTCTTTGAAGCACTAAATGTGAACGATGAAATTCAGAAGGTATTGTCAAAATATGAAGACATGAAGAAACCATTGGTTGCTCAACAGGAGCAAGAACCTGCTATGATACCAGTAGCTGTTGAGCCTGATGATTCACCCCGCGTAGGAAGAGAAGAAGGTTTAACAAGAAAACCAGCAGGTGTTGGGACTGGGAGTCAGGGAGGGAACAACGGTGACGCGATGGATGATCTTGATGAAATGATTTTTGGTAATAAAGCTGGTGGTACGTCCGAAGCAGGGTCGAATCCAAATAA